GCAGAGACCCCAGGGGCAGCACCTGAGGCGGCAGAAGGGGGCAGAGGCCTGCACGGGGGTGTGGTGGGACCCAAAGGGAGGGCCTGGGCCTGGGCAGAGCAGGAAGCAGGTGTCGGGGCTGTGCAATGTCTGCTGACTGAACCACAAGGAGACCGGTCTCGGTCTCTCTTATGAGCCGTGTGCCACGCACCCGCTGGGCTCCATCTACTGGCCTGTCGCTGGCCCTGGCCACCTCACGAGCTTGCTGTGAAGAGCCAGTGAGGGGCACGTGTGGGCAGCAGACTCCAGAGGGGTCCTCCTCACCTGCCTGCTGCAGGCATGCAGTCTGCCAGGGCACGGCGCTGGGACAGGCCCAACGTATCTCTTAGTTGCCATGTACACTCTTCTCCCTTACCTGCTGAACTACACACGGGCATCAGACATGATCCCCAGGCCTGGCAGAGCCGCTCTGCCTGTCTGCCCTCAGCCTCCCTCCCAGCACTGCCATCATGTCCCAGGCGGCACCAGCTCAGACCCTGGCCCACAGAGCGCCCTGCAGAGCCCAGGCTCCTGCCATGTGGGTCTGACTCCCAGTGGGGCCCTCCTGGCAGCCGGACGCAGGAACCCCAGCTTGTCACACCACATGAGTGGGACCATGCACACGTCACCCTCTCTTCCAGCCCCCTTCCAGCATCTTTAGCATGAGAACAGCCCACCTGCCTGGCAAGCGGGGAGGCCTCTGCACCGACAGCCTGGGCCACCCTGGTTCCGCCTTGCTCTCCGCTCCCCACTGCGTGGGGTGAGCCCTCCCCGGTGACGGCCGTCAGTGTCGCCCCCGCCCGCAGACGTCAATGGCTGACACTGGTCTCCGTCTGCCCTTACAAGCCATCAGCCATTCCAGGGCCCCTATTTCCCTGGGCCACTGCTCCTGGCTGTGGGGGCTTTGAGATAGAAAGCTCCGCAAGCCTCACGCCCAGGTCCCCCGTCCCCCTAAGCTCGCTTGGAGAATTCACCGGCTCACACGGCTGTGACCGGCCCGCGAGCCTACTAAAGCCTTCCGGGCCAGATGAACCCGTGGGGGAGCTTCGCAAAGTGTCACGCCTCACGGTGGAGAATAGCACAGCGAGTCCTCAGAAAAGAGAACTGCCACGTGGCCCAGACATGCCACGGCTAGGTGCCTACCCAGAACTGAAAGCCGGGACCCCCCAGGCACCTGCACCCCGTGGTCACTGCAGCCCCACTCACGACGGCCTGAGGTGGGAGCCGCCCGAGGGTCCGCGGCTGGACGGATGGAGGAACAATCCACGCTGGGTCCCTAGCGGAACAGCACCCACCTCAAAGAGGAAGGGAATCCTGGCACTGGCAACAATGTGGGCGAGCCGAGGACATGACGCGAAGTGAGATCAGCCTGTCACAGAAGGGCGAACACTGTGACTCCACTGACATGAGTCCCCAGGACAGGCAGATTCAGAGGCAGAAGCAGCACAGTGGCTACCAGGCCTGGGGAGCTGCTTAACACATACAGTTTCTGTTTGTAAAGATGAGAAAGTTCTGGATATGGATGGGGGGATGGCACAGTAGGAGTGTACTTACTGCCACTAAACATACACTTAAAAACAGTTAAAATGGTAGATTTTATGTTATGCATATTTTACGACAATGAAATTAGTTTTTAAAACTAAATAATAAAAGTTTGTAAAGTGGCATGGCTTACTCTGCATCAGCGGTTCTTAGCGGAGGAACCCCGGCCAGCACACTGCAGCACCTGGGAAGCCGTAGGGAGTACAGATGCTCGCGGCACACCCCAGACCTGACTGACCCAGGAACGGGAGGCGGGGTGGTCTGTGCTTTCACAAGCCCCCCAGCGCGCTGAGTACTGCTGGAGTTCGGGAACCAGCTGCTCCCCGTAACCCTGGGAATGCCAGCTGCTTTCTCACTGACTCCTCTCCTCTTCCCCATCCTTAAAGGCAGTTCCGAAATAGGATGGATGCTTAGAGGACGGACTGACCCATTCCCACCAGCACACAAAAAGGACTTCTGTCCTGGCGAAAAGGTAACCATCGCGGCTCCCAAAGCAGCTCAGTGTGCCCACTGCACCAGAACTGTCTGGGGTTCTCTCCATAAATGTGTACTTCCAGACCTCACCCCTGGAGATGCCACCTCAGGAGGTCCGGGGCGGTCCCTGGGGATCCTCACTGCCAATGGAAGGGGTGGTTCTGGGCATGGAGTCAGAGACCGGGGCCCAGTTCTGGTTCTGCTATGGGCCGTCGTCGTTCACAGCTGAAATAAGGGCCCAGGAGAGCTCAGGGAACGAGGGCAAACAGCAAAGTGCCCATCGCAGGGCCTGGTGCCCAGCACACTTAGCAAGTGCTCCATCTCAATCAGCTTCAAAGCCCCAGTTATGTCTCATGGCCTGGCGCTCAAGGCTTTTCAGAATGTGACGCATGCACCCTGACCTACCCGTCCCCAGCCCAAATCCTCCACTTCGGGCAAGCTGGCTTTTGCCTGGCTCCTGAACACACCAAGACAAACAGAACTCAAAAGCCTCCGTGGTGCACACTTGCCTTTCCCCGGCAAGTCTCCTCCACTCCTCCCACCGACGGAGGTCCTGCGTCCCATGTGGCCGCACAGCCCCGTACAGGTCTCACAGCTGGTGCATGCCTGTCAATGCACTCCGGCATCTAACGGGCCCTGAGCACATACTAGGGGTGAAGAACAAATGCACAGTGCAGTGACCACACACACGCTGGCTGTTACCCGGCCTTCTGGATGTCTGCCACCATCTACAAAAGGAAAACTCTCTGTTCATGATATCCCTCCAATAATTAGCCTGAATGTACATACACAAGCAAAGGCCCTGCACAGCCTACAAGGAACCTCACATCCCTTTAAATCTGATCTAACTTCAAAGCTGGCTTGAACCCACCTGCGCTGTAAGGTCCCCCTGACCCGTCTGCAGAGCTCAGGCCTTCCGCAAACTGTTCGACACCTCCGGCAGCCGGCCTACAGCTCACGTGCCTGCCGTCAGTCATAAAGCATTTCCCCTCTGGGCTTACGTCTGTGTTCCAGCAGGATCTGTGTCCTCTACCTCAGTCTGCACAGCACCACCACAGAACCACTGCCTCCAGGCTGTCAATATCCACAGCGAAGTGATTCTGTGGGTCACTGTCCACCTGCCAACCCTACCCTGGCCCTGTGTCCAGATGTCTCCTCACCAGTCCTCTCCACCACTCATCGAACGGGTGGACACACTGCTCGTCCCCAACCCTCCTCACTTCACTGTCAGCGTCCCTCAGCCACACCTGTCCCCATCAGTCCCTGTGCCTCAGCCCCACGACAGGATGTGAGCAAACAGCGCCAGACGGAAGCAACAGCCTTGCCCCAGGTCTCCTGGAATCACTCTGTCCATGAATCCCACACAGCACAGTACGACTCAGGCCGCAGGTCACATGTGCCACCTGAAAAATGAGAATCTGCAGGCTCGCCGCCCTCTCACTACCCCTGACTTCCAGGCTGCCTTTCTCTACATGCCACCCCCAGGCCCTGAAGCCTAGGCCCTACGTGCACTAGGTCACCTTCCCCTCGTCCCCATGCCACGCACTAACCTTCCTCAGAACCAGGTCGAGACTTGTCTCCTCTGAAAAGCCGTCAGTCTAGCCACAACTTCAGCTGCACCAATAATCTGCGAACCTCTGACCCACAGTTGTTAGTGCTCTTAAACAGAGAGTTAAGGCCCAGACTTCAGAATCAGACAGGCCTGTGTCTAAACCCTGGCTTCACCACATGAAAAGCCAGGGCACCCTGGACAAAGTACCTTAAACTCTCAGAGCTGCAGTTTTCAGCTGTCAACTAAGAACCATCCCCAGGGCTACAGTGAAGAGCACACAGAATGTTGGGGAAGAGCCCCCCAGAGCCGGCACGTGCCTAGTACAGCACGCATGGGACACAGCATGTAGGTGCACACATATGCAAGTCTGCTCAGAAGGGTGCCGCTCACCTCAGAGCTGCAGAAGAGCCTCCCAGAAGCACAGTGAAGCTCAGCGGGTAGAGCAGCCAGCCCACAGGAACACAGCTGGACGCACCAGAGCCCCACTACTCTGTGTGTGACCTGTGGCCACGGAGTAGGTACGTTTCCAATGCCGACCTCTGGCCTCTCCTGAGCCCACCAAGGTGCAGCAGGGAGAGGGCCCCACACACCCAGGCCCATGTCCCTTCTCCTCCGGCTTTGTGCCTCACAACAGCTGAGCCACGCTGACTGCTCGAGTCAGAAACTGCACCTTAACGAGCACCCCCAGTGATTCGTGCATGCATTCAAGTTTGAAAACTGCCTCAGAGGAACGGATACCCCCTTCCAGCCCCTCCAGTGCTTTCTCCAAACTCTGTCAATGGTAGTCCCTGGCTTGTTCTTTGCATACTTTCTGCAGCACCCCCACAAAGGCAATGCAGATAGCGCAGTTAGGGTCGGACTCTGAGGTCACACTATTCAGCTCAAAACCTGCTGCACAGGCTGCTGGGGTGATTTCACAAGAAATGCACACACCTCTCAGCACAGTGCCTGGCACTCAGTAAGCCTCTGGGTCTGTGTGAGCTAATTTTAGCAGCTGTAGAGATAAGCGCTGAGAAAGCAGGGGGGAGGGAAGTCTCTCTGAGGCACAGATATGTAAGTGCAAAGATGTGAGTCACAAGCCGTGATCTGGGGGGACAGCACCCCAAGCAGAAGAAATGAAATGCAATCAAGAGGAGAGCAGCTGAGAGGCTATCGGTCAGCAGGCCCTGTGAGGCCCCGGAGGCCAAGAGGTGTGATCCCAGCAGCCCTGGAAGCCGCTGCAGGCTGATGGCACGTGGCACACCTCTGAAGATCACTTTGGCTATAGTGTATGGAAGGGGATGGGCACAAGAATGAAGCAGGGAAACCAGCTGGAGGCTCCAGAGGCAGTGGAGTCCAGCAGCCTGGACTAAGGCTGTGCGACGAGGTCAGATTCTGGAAATATTTTGGAGACAGGGCTGCTGCTGAACTGCACCTGGAAGAAGGGCCTGAGGATGGCTCTTAGTCTGCAGCCTGAGTAACTGAGTGACACGGTGTGAGATCTGGACCACACGGAGGTGAGATGTCACAAGAGAGGCAGTGAGGACATCAGGTAGCAGTTCAGCATCCAAAGCTGGAGTTTCAGGAAGAGCTTCAGGCTCAGGCCAGACAATTACAACACTTCCAGCACCTGGAAGACAAGGATGAAGCCGTTCTCGCCTTCAGAGTGCTTCACCCTTGTACGTGAGCACAGCAGAGGCTCACCACACATCAACAAACAGCATTTCTGGACAAAGAGACGTGGAGGTTTCTGGAGGGCGGTGACTGTGAAGCTGGCACTTAGGTGAGGATTTAGTGTGGCTGCCTCTGCGGAGTTGGGAGAAGAGTACAGATCCCAGGGCTGTATAAAAGGTACTGGTGCCTCAAGACCGGCTCACTTTATGGAAAGGAAGGCAAAAGGTAATAAGCGCAGGATGGGGTTAAGACCGAGGGGAGAGTAGGAATGTCTTCTACAGTGTCAAGTATGGAACGTCCTGCCCAGCGGGAGGGAAGGGCTGCAGAGCGATGGAGGCAAGACGACACACTGGTGCAGGGAGGCCGGGGAACCATCACATGGAAGGGGCTGGAAAGATCAGGGAGCCGGGTTCACGTGTCTCTTCCCCGCTTCTCATAATACCTGGAGATGGCCACGTATCCTCGCGGCCCAGAACATAACTAGTGGCCCCCGTGAATGGCGGAAGCATCCTCTTGCCGAGTGGACAGCGAGCTCCTCAGGGACCACCCGGAGGAGGGCAGCTCTGCTTCTCCCCGAAGGAGCCCTGCTCGCCGTGTACCCGGCGGGAGCGAGTCCGCCGAGCTCTCACCTATCCCATGGGTTACAAGCCCCTACAGAGCCTTCCGACAGTGCGAGCCCAGCGCGCACGCCCCCGTTCTTCGGTACTTGCAGAGCACAGAGCGCTCCTCTTTCAAGGTCCTGGGCACTGTGGGGACCCAAGAATAAACAAACTCTGGCAGGGCACACAGGGCACATGCACCCACAGCCGCACAAAGCCAACGGGGCCGCAGGCACAACCTGAGCGCACGGGAGCCTGAGGGCAGCTGCAGGGCGAGTGTGCGCAGCTGGTCTGGGCTCACCACATGGCTCTCCGGGCAAAACCGCCCTTCCTCAGGGCTCCTACTGCTCTCTTGTCAAGGCTGTTGACCCGCCTATGTCCGCGAACTCGCACTCAGGAAGGGCGCCAGGTCTTGCCCAAAGTCTGCACTCAGCAAACACCTAGGCAAGAGTTCCGAGAGATTAGGAACATGGCTGTGTGGTCAGAAAGCCAGGTCCCAACCCCCGCTTCGGTACTTCCTGGCTGTGTGACCTCGGGCGTGTGGCTGAACCTCTCTGCGCTGCAGGGAGTGTACTAACTGGGCGTGCTGAGCGCCCCTGCCTCGCCGGCCCTCTGCGGCGGCGCTGGCCAGCAGGTGCGCGTCGCGTCGGCAGTGACCAAGGCGAAGAGGCCCCGGCGTCCCGGCGCGAGGGCCCCCGCCCGAGCTCACCCAGTTTCCGAATCCGAACTGCTCGATGGCGTCCAGCAGCAGCTGCTCCTCGCGGCTGGTCCAGCCGCCCTCGGCCTCGGGCCCCCACAGCGTGAAGCGCCCGCCGTCCACCAGCTGGTAGCCGTGGTAGCGGCGGTGGTGGCCGATTTCGGCGCCGGCCGAGAAGCACTCGGGGCACAGCTCGATGTCCTGGCACTCGGTGCAGCGGAAGCGCAGCGGGCTCACCTCGGCCAGGCAGTACACGCAGTACTTCTTACCGAGCTCCGCCATCTTCCCCCGCCCGCCGCCCGCGCCCGCGCCCGCGGCCGCCGCCGCCGTCAGAGCGCCGCCGCCCGCGCCCGCGCAACCGCCGCCCGCCGCCGCGGCCGCCGCCACCGCGCCGCCAGTGCAGGCGTCCCGGAGCCGGCCCGCCGGGCCGCGGCCCGCCTCAGCACGCAGGCGCCCTCCGGCCCCGCCGGCCGCCGCCGCCGCCGCCCAGCCGCAGCGCGCAGGCGCTCGCGCGCGCCCCCAAGCGGACGCCCGGCCTGCCGCGCTGCGCCTGCGCGCCCCTCGCGCCGGCCGCCCGCGCCGCACGCGCCGCCTGGATGCCCCGCCCAGGCCAGGCGCTAGGAAACGGGCGGGAAGGGAGCGCGGAGGACGCGCCACGCCCCTGGCGGTGCGAGCCTACGCCCTCTTCCAATAAACGCCGCCTGTCGCGTGCCCGCGGTCTCCCATTGGCCAGCCCTTGCTGGGAGGCGGGGAGAAGAAGCACCAGCGGCGGGAGGATGCCTGGCCAATCACCGGGTCCACCGCGCGCGCCTCTTGTTGCCCTTGGAAACCTAACAGCCGGCAGCCGGCTGCCGGCGTCCGCGGCGCTGGCTGGTCCGCAGTGGGGGTGCGAGGGGAGATGGACCCAGACTCCGAGCACACTGAGGACCTTGAGGGGGAACACCGAGAGGCGCAGAGCCTGGCCTCGCGGGCATCGGGGACCAAGGCCAGCTCTGGCCCCCAGTCCCCGGCCGAACCCGCGGAACCGGAGCCGAAGGCCGTCGAGACTTCGGAGGTAGGCGCAGCTGCGGACGAGCTCGCCGAGCCCCGGGAAGGGCAGGCGGCCGCCGAGGCTGCGAGCGAGGAGAGGCCCGGAAAGACGAAGCGGCCGGCCGAGGCCGAGGCGGAGGCCGACCCCGGGGAGCCCGCCGAGGCCGGGCCTGAGCAGCCAGCCCAGCCGGGATCCGAAGGAGGGCGCGAGGAACCGGAGGAGGACCAGGGGGAAGAGGCCGAGGCGGCGGAGGGCAGGAGGCAGGAGGCCCCGCCGCAGGTCTCTGCGCCTCCGTCCACGCCCAGCCAGGAGGAGGCTGCTCCGGTCCGGGAGGGCGAGGGGGAGAGGAAGGGCGTGCACCGAAGCCGGGCAGAGAGCGGGGAGGAGCTGACGCGCCCGGGCGAGAGGCTGGAGGGTGGGGGTCACGAACGGACCGAGGAGGAGCAGAAGCTGCAGGAGCAACAGCTGCGCGACGAGCTCCTGGGACAGTACCGCTCGCTGACGGCGGAGCGGAGCCGCTATCTGCGCCACAACATTCACCTGCAGCGCAAGATTTTCGAGGCGCTGCGCAAGAAGAAGGGCCTCGATGCAGCCGAGGTGCCGGACAGGGGCACGGAGCCCGAGGCCCCGGAGAAGGAGCGAGCATACCTACGCCGCCTGGCCGCGCTGGAGGGGCTGAGGAAGCAGCAGGCAGACGACCTGGGCTGGTATCACCGCGAGCTGGGCCAGCTGAAGCAGCAGTGCGAGAAGCTCTCCAGGGCGGAGAGGGAATGGCGAGGCTTCCAGGCACTCAAGAAGCAGGTGGCGATGCAGGCCATGGGCAGCTGTCGGATGCAGGGTGGCCGCCAGGCTGCTCTGCGAAAGATGGAGCGGGTGCAGGCTTTGGAGGACAAGAAGGAGAAGGAGATGAGCGCGGTCAGACTGGAGAACGTGCAGCTGAAGCAGAGCCTGGCGCACCTTGAGACCAGGATGAGGGCCCAGGAGGACCTGACCGAGGGCCTGCCCCTCATTGATTTTGAACAGCTTAAGATTGAGAACCAGACCTTCAATGAGAAAGTGGAGGAGCGAAACGAGGAGCTTTTAAAGCTGCGCAACAAGGTGACCAACAATGTGCAAATAATAACCCATGTTAAAGAAAAGCTAGACTTTGTGAATTTAGAAAATACATGCAAAAAGTCACAGCTTTTGGAAATTGAGGCTCAGGTGGCCCTAGGGAGGGACATCTTGACTAAGACTAAGCAGACTCGAGACAGCCTGCGGATTGACAACATCAAGCTGAATCAGAAGTGTGGGCTTCTGGGCAAGGAATCCCTCCTTCAAGACATGGAAGAGAAGGTAGACAAGACTAACTTGCTCAACCGGCGCTTAGAATCCCTGAAGCGCCATCACGCTGGGCTTACTCTGTCCTGCAGAGGCGTGAAGCAGAAGGTCAGGGAAGCCAAAGCCTTTCTCCCCTCCTGACACCACTGGTGGGAGAGTCCACAGACTGTCTTTGATCTCAGTGAACTCCAGTCTTCATTATCTTTTCTTCTCCGTCTGTTGCCATTCTTCAGAAAGCTGTGATTATTTGGGTAGTACTGTATTTTTTATTTATCTCATAATTTTTAAGCTTCCAAATTACTGCTGAGCACAGAATTGGGTTAGCAGTCAGTGCTGTATGGGCTTAAACAGGTGCAGAGAAACAAATGAGAGAGATGGCTTGATGTGCCTGATTTCTCATAAAAGCTGTCAAAAGCCTTTTTATATCTTAGCAATTCCATGATTTCAATGACTGGATCCTGAGAACAACTGTTTGTCTTCTATATGTAGGAGGGTTCACTGAATGGGCAGGATACCAAAAAAATTCCTGTGCATTAAGCTAATTATTAAATCTCCTTTGAATTGATTAGTCTGACCTGAGTCATGGTCTCAGTTCAGAGCCCACTAATTCCCTTGATGAAATTGATTTGTATGTAAGTAGCACTAGCTTCTGGTGTACTAAAAAAGATCCAGGAAACAGGAGAAATACGGAGAGGAGCTGGATGTTGTGTCATCTTTGTTTTGTGAAATTGTTTGCTTAACCATTCATGTCTGTTTCTATCTCAGTCATAATCTTCAATTCCAGTGAAAGGTCTTCTTGGATCCTCTAAAGAAACGCACTGATCTGACCAAAAACTGAAATTCTGCTTTCCAGGGAAGACAACATGATGATTGGATTGTGTGTTTTGCCAGGTGCAAACTGTGGCCTGAGGACTGACTGCCCATAAGCCATTTATTTTCAAGATTTTTTTGCATCCTGGCAACAGGACCTTCACTATGCAATGTGGGTTTTACTCTCTATCAAATACCAAACTGTCTATTATTCCTTGTGTTAAAAGAAATACTTGATAGTCTTTCTCCAAAATCAGTGGTTAACATTTTAAATTTTCCTTGATGTTTTTGGAGCTGGGGGCTTGGTTTTATTTCTTCTTCATCTTAGGTTGAATCTTAGGCGCAGATTTGAGATGAGAAGTATTCTCCAGACCTTAAACTTACGTGGATCCTAAGAAGGGTGATCCATTTTTTGGGTGCTAAGTACCTTTAAAGAATAGTTGAGAGCCTACTCTGGGCAGATGACTCAGGTGGTCATGAGAATGTTACAATGACTTTATCTTCTGATGAAGTGATTTTTTTAAAAGTGTGTTCTCTTTGAAGCCAATGAAGTTTGACTGAAATTCTCTTTCTAACTTCCACAGCTTCACCACACTTTCATTATAATACTGTACTTCCCCTGAACCACACAAACATAACAATGCGGGGACTAAGAAACTTCGTCCTCTTCCATTCTCATCCTTTACAATTTTTGTCTTCTCTCTACCCTATTCATCAAGGCCAAAATGAAGTAGTAAATGACCAGCAAATCAAACTGTTTTCTTTGTGCCTCTGGCCCCAAAAGCAGCAGTGGCCCACTGGGTTCTTTTGTGGCTGTGGAGGCTTCAATGTGAAACTGGCAATCATGCTCAGTGCCTTCACGAGCAAACGGCTTTCACTGTAAGTGTCCATCCTTCGGCTCACTTGAGGGAGATAGCCATTTTCAGCTGATTATGACCCACTGGCAGTTACCCAGGTTGAACCAGTCCCTCATCAGCCTTGAACCCAGTGACAAGGTCTCTGAGGACACCAAGTACAAAGGAGATGGATGAAGTAGGTGTTGTTTTAAGCTGCTAAGCTTCTGGTGTTCTCTCATATTACCTCATGCTGGAGATGTTACAGTTAATTAGAAGAGAAATGATCTGTTATTTCCTGAGTTTCTAACTAGATAGCTCATTATCATGTAATAGCAACACATTCAAAATTGTGTCCTTAGATGGATTGCCTCTGAGAGCACCACAGGCCCCACAGCATCCGGTCCCCAATCTGACATGCTTTGTTCCCCACGGCAGCCTGCGGTTAATCCTAGTCAGCTTCTGACCCACTACTTCATGAGTGTCTGCTTAGTTCTCTGTACCCAGTGGGACAAAGACCCCAGAAGGCAAGGTCTGTTAGTTTATCATCTGCCCCTAGTAGCCAACACAGTGCCTGCACATTAATGGGTGCTCAATATGTCTGTGGGATTTACACATTAAAATGCCAGTCTCATTTTCTGAAAATAAGGGCTACCTGGATGTCCACTATATGAGGCATTGGTAAGTCCTATGTCAGATTCAAAAACTCCAAGTAGAAAGAGGATTTCTCAAGTAGGACCAAAGAGGAAAGCGACAGGGGGCTGGCTTGTGGCCCCGGCGGGCCGACACTACGGGTAAGTTGCTGTCGCCCTGCTGCTGGGAGGCAGCTAAAGAGGGAGTTTCCGAGTGATGCTGGAAGCGGGACTAGAAACCGCAAGCCGTTTTTATGAATGCTAAAGTTAACAGCTAAGATTTTTTTCATCTCCTTGTCAAAACGTACAGGGCTTGAAAAGCGCAGGCACGATAAAATTTGAGTGAGATGTTAAATGAAACTAGACTCTTTGAAAAGATTGGTCTGAGTGTGAAGTGTCCCACGTCAGAGGTAGTTTCTTTGCTGCAGCTTTGGCAGCAGTGAATCAGGCACTTCCCGGATAGAGCCCAGGACATCTGAAAAGGACACACTTTTTCATCGGTGACCGAAAATTATTTTTGGTGACTTACCACATTTGAGATTTTTAAAATTACATTACGTGGAGACACATGTTTTTTTTAATAAGTCCATCTGCAGCTATAATTTACATTTTTGCCACTGGTCACGGGTGCCTGTTCATGAAATATCAGTTATGTACCCCAACTTGATGCTTTTAATGTTTTAAACTTTCAGGCGGTCTTAATGCAACGTGATGGATGAGGCGCATACTGGGAATGGAAGTGACCCCAGGAGGCTCCTCTGCCGTGTCCGGGTGCTGGACAGAGGCGCTGGCCTGGGTGCGGCCCAGCGGGAGTAGCGCCGCTGAGGTTGCCTCCCCTCCACTTCCCTCGTGATATTCCTTCCCAAGGGCTGTCTGGTCTTTATTTCAAAACCCAATGTCTAACTTTGCATATTTTGATGGATAAATTTACACCCTCCCCAACTTTCTAAGAGTCCACCCGAAGGATACCAAGGATGAATACTAGATGTCTACAAGATGCGGGACAGTGCAGGGCCTGGGCACAAAGACTAGGCATCAGGCTGACCCGGCCTCGGCTCTCTGTGGGCTGTGGCCGGGACAAACACTTCAGCTTTTTAAGCCTCACTGTACTCATATGTAAAATGGGGACAAGAAGTTTCTCTTTTCTGGGTGGCAAACAGTGGTTTCTATTTTCTTTACGCTTGTCCAAATTTTACATAATGAAGATGCATTTTAATCAGGAAAAAAATTCTCGATTTTTAAAAATCCATGAACGTACCAAGAGTGCAGGAGACCACAAGCTTCCGCGTCAACAGCAGGGTTCCGGCTAGCCACAGTGATCTGTTTCTTGTAATGATACAATTGGTTCAGCATTTTAGATTATTTTAACCCTCACAAGCTGGTACACAGGAGCTGGGTACCTTTCTAACCTTTGGTTAGAATGAGGTTTAGAGAATTTAAACTGGCTTGTTCTTAACCTCTAGCTAAACCGGACCTTAAACTTGGATTCACTTTTGGTTGGAGCAGTTTCCACCAGGAGCTCCAGAGCCATGTCAAGAAGCTGCAGGAACAATGTTTAAGAAAGACTGAGCCTGGCCGGAGGAAGCCCCGGGTCTTAGGCGTCCTGGAAAGGGGGCTTTGGCAGTCAGTCCTGAGAAGGGACCTTGGCGTGGCCGTGCCTGGCACCCAGTGGGCGGCCCCTTGTACAGCAAGCTGGTTGCAGGTGAGGTGGTGCTCGTGGAGGCACTCGGAGCAAAGTCAGAGCCGCGCTTGGCCTCTCAGAAACACCTGGGGACTTAAAGTCACGGCCACATTTTGTGGGGGTGGGGCTCCACATGAAGTCTTGCTCTGGCTCGCAGGCTCCCTCTGCTGGCCATGCCCTTCCTCTGGTCCACCTAGTGACCCACAGCTCCTACAGGCTGACCTTGGTGTCACCCACCTCTCGCCCTGCAGAAGAGCAGCAGCCAGTTACTCTGAGCTGTCATGCAGGCTCCACACTTCAGGTGGGGGATTTTGAACTGTCAGCCGCCAGGTTTCTCTGGGGAGAACTTTCCACAACTTCTACCCCCACTGCTGGTACGTTTCCCAAGGTCCTCCCCAGGGAGCTGCCTGGGCTGTGGAGCCTTGCACACAGGAGGCGAGGCACTCAGGTGGGGAAGTGAACCCAGGCCTCACCCCAAACCCCACACTGGGAGTTGAGGTCAGAGCTAGGGGAGGAAGGCTTGCAAAGGCCCCAAAGCAAGTGTGTCTCTAGGGAGAGGCGTTTCTGAGCAAGGGCTCAGGAGGCCTGTGTCCAAACCCCAGCCCTGCCAGTAACTGGCTGGAGGAGCCCAAGCAGACTACCTCTGAGTCACGCCTTTGAAATGGGGACAGTGACAGAGCTGCTGTGGAGATAAATGAGGTCGTTCACAGACACTTAGCTCAGGGCCTGCCTGGCATGGGAGGAACAACGAGCCAGCCCCGACAAATGTGACCGCTGGCAACCATGACTACCCTCATCTGCCATCTCACCTCGCAGCTGGTGGAGAGTGGAGAAAAAGCAACGGCAGCCTGGGGAGGCAAGCAGCTCACGTCAGAAGGGCAAGAGGGGCGGTCTCAGAGGATCATGCTGGGGGCAGAAGACATCTGAGCAAATTCCTTGCAAGCTGCTCTGTCTGGGAGGATGGGCAGGGAGGCTAGTTACCCAGCGGGGGAGAGAGTACCCGGGGGGGGGAGACCTCCCCAGCAGAGGTCCCAGGAGACCTGGGGCTAACACAGGAGGGGTGGCACCGTACCGTCTGCTCGAGTGAGTCATGGAGGATGAGGATTCTCCAGGGGAGCCAGGAGAGCACCATCGGCACGCAGCAATGGCTGTCTGGTTCTGTGGGGCCGCGGACCGCTTCCTGCTCACCGCCACCTGAAGGGGCAGCATTACCGATCTCCACCCCACAGGTGGGAGCAGAGGCACAAGCTGGCCCAGGAGAAGCCACCGTCACCTCGCAGACTAGTGGTGGGGCCAGACCTGAGCCCCTTGTGTTCGAGACTCTGAGCAAATTGCTCAGGTAAGTGCGAAGAGCCCAGGGGCTGCCGCAGAGCACGTGCTACCTGCTGGGAAGGGGCGCACGCAGGCTGAGGCAGTAGGAGCAGGTGTGTGCAGCCCCCACAGGGCCTGGAGGACAGGGGTCACGGCTGCAGGGAAGTCACGCTGAGAGGGGCGGCAAGTTTGAACTTACCCTTCAGCTAAGAAGGGAGCCAAAAAAGTGGATTTTTAAATATTCAAACAGCACAATGCCCAGAAGTCAAATTTTTGCCATACTTTAAGGTGAGAGCTTCAATTATAAACCAAACTACAGAGAAATAAGTAAAATTTTAATGACTTTTATTAAATAAAACCACATATTTACAATTCAAAAAGTCCTAGTTTGATACACTTTACTAAATAAAATTAAAGGGTAACTGTACAAGCAATTAAAACATGATATGTAGCAAGTGTTATTAGGAGTTTCTGATCAGCAAACTATTTAAAATAGTCAAAAACTGAGCAGTTAAAAAGTACCTTTTAAAGTGACCATTGTTTCTAGTTGAGATTTCAAGGACTGGTAGGGATGCAGCTTTCAACTTACAAAGGTCTTGAAGCTGAAGTCTTAGATCCTGGAAATCAACAGCATGAGAAGTGGAGGGTGGGCTTCCACGGGGGTGCAGCGCCTCTATTCTGTTTCCAGCTTTCCTAAAGGATCATGTCAAACCAAGAAGCTCTCCGGCAGCCCCTGTGGAAAGGGGCCATGTGACCCTGGGCAGGGACTTAGAACCTCTTGGCCTGTGAAGTGGACACACTAAGCAGCCAGGACCTCACGTGGTCCCTCAA